TGCACATGACTTAGGGGGTCCTCTAACGAATCCAAGCATTTAGAACCGTTTTTGACCCTTCTAAGACACTTTTTAAATTGAAAAAAGAAACATCGTTAAGTGAAGCAGGGGACCTAAAATCGCATTCGTTATGCGAAGCATGGTCCCAAACTTCGCTAAGCGAAAATCGCCCATAGGAAACATCGTTATACGGTGCATATTATTTTCTGAAAAAACACATTGTTATGCGAATTCATCGCTAAACGAGGCACTCGTTAAGCGAGGCACCACTGTATTTCTGTCAAATGGCAGAAAGGAAATCAAGGTTTGCTTTGGAATCCAGTACAAGGCAGTACTGTGTCCTAATGCAATGATTGCAGAATAAACCTAACGATTTGTAGTCCATTGCCAACTAATGGATTTCAAAGATTGTATATAAATACGTCGTATCTCATTGCATTTGATTTTGCAGATATTGAGGCGGAGATGTTTCCATTATCACACTCTTGGCTTGAATTGAAAAGAATCTCATTTCCCTTCTTTAGCTTGTATTCATTCAGGGTTGTTGTCTTCCCTTGCTTCCAAAATTTAGTTGAAAACCGAGGTCTAATTGATATTTCTGAAATCTTTCCAAGTTTTTTAGAAAGGAATTATGCAGCAGTTAATTGCATGATTCAAAATCAATAAATTTATTGCCATTGTAAGTATGTACATAGTATACCCATACAATGAAATTCACAGAGACACCCAGAGACCAGATCCACATGCACACACACAAAGAAATCCCCAAATACTCCCCCCCCACTAAAAATCCCCCACTTAAGAATACAAACATCTACACCACAGGCCAAGTAACACTGTCCAACTATTCACTACTGGTGGTCTTTAAGCTCATTATTAAATGCAGTTATAGCTCTGGGATAAAAACTATTCAGAAACATATGGTCCGAGTCTTAATTGTTCTGTATCTTCTCCCAGACGGCAACAGTTCAAAAAAGTTGTAAGCAGGATGGGAAGAGTCTCTCAGGATGTTGTGTGACTTCCTCAGACAGCGGGATGTGAAGATGTACAATTGATAGTACAATTGTAATGGATTAGCCATGGAAAAATAGCTCTGGGTCTTTTCAATTATCTGCATCTGTGTGCTGGTCTCCTGGCCTGGCCTGTCATACCTGTGAAAAACAGGCTACCTGTTCCTGTCCAGAACTTTCAATATTCCCTTCCAATAGGCAAAACTAACTGGATAAGATTTGATTCTGATGTCTCCACGGGAAAGAGTCTCAGTCTTTTATTTCTCCTTGGAACACCCTCTCCACCTCCCACAGAACTGTTTATTCCCACCATTTGGGGAGGTGCAGGAGGAAGCGGGATTACTTATCATGGAGAGAATTAGGGCTGAGTCTTGAATGAGACATAAACGAGCAATAAAAAGAAGAGAAACTACAGGTTTCCCTCTTTGTCCTGTACGGATATGGCCTAAATCTCTTCCAGCTATCCTTGCCTGTTGTTAGGCAAGCTAGTGTAGATCTAAATGGAAAAAGCAAGTTTATTTTTCACATGGTAATTTTACTTTACAGCCTTGTTTGTATTCTGTAGTCATACTGTTCACTTCTGTATATGAAAATGTAAAAAAGGAAGGGCAAACTAGTGCAAATAATAACTGTGTTTTCTACAGAAATCCCATGGGAACTACATTGAGCAGCACTTCTGTTCAGTTTTAAAACATTCGACGCTGCGTTAGCTAAAGTCAAAAGTGATAATTCTAATTAAGAAATGTTGTTAACATTGCTTGACTAAATATGATCCAGTTTGATCTTTGACTTTACTGGCCCAAATCCTGTTGCTTAGTATAGTAAATTGCACTAAAGTAGCCCACTGAATCAATGGGGATTTAGTTAATCAATACCAGTAGTGCCATTGATTCAAATGGACCTTCTCTAACTGTGACTTAATTTAGTATACTGTAGTATGTTGCAGTTTAGAGTTGATCCATTTGAATCTATGGGATGTATGGAGGAGTGGACTCACCAAATCCCCATTGATTCAATGGGCCAACTGTTCAATTTACTACGGTGAGCAACAGGATTTTGGCCACTGTTTTGAAAGTATTAAGCATATTTTTGTTTAACAAATCATAGAATGTCCATTCATAGATAGGCAATGACACGCAAGAACAGAATGACCATTCATACGTAGACAGGCGATAACATGCAAGAACAGAATGGCCATTCATAGACAGGCGATAACATCCATTGTTGAGCACTGCTGAAAAAGGACTGGTTCTGTGTTACTTTCAAATTAATTGCAGGAGATTATATTGTGAATGTTGCAATTGTTTAAAAACAAAAGCCAACACTAATAATGTCTTAACATTAGTACAGTGGTGCCTCGCATTACGACGTTAATTCATTCCAGTGAAATCGCTGTAGAACAAAAACGTAATGCGAAAATAAAAAGCCCATTGAAACACATTGAAACCTCTTCAATGCGTTCCAATGGGTTGGAAACTCACCGTCCAGCAAAGATCCTCCATAGGGTGGCCCCTTTCGGTGCCTATGCAGTGAGGAATCTGTCCCAGAAAACAGCGGGGAGCCATTTTATTTACCCGGTGGCCATTTTGAACCCGCCGATCAGCTGTCCGAAAATCATCGTTTTGTAAAGTATCGGTTCCCGAAGCAGGGAACCAATCATCGCGAAGCGAAAAACCCCTATTCAGACGATTGTTTTGCAATTGCAATTGCGATTGCATAAAGATTGTCCTAATGCGGTTTCGTCGTAATGCGGGGCAATCGTAAAGTGAGGCACAACTGTACACTCATTCTCTAACTTGTGTAATCTCTGGGTGTTGTTTCAGGAAAGAGTTGTTTCATTTTCACAGGGGGCATATTATAGGGGTGAAGGCTTACATACCATTATTCACAACATCACATGCTCTTTGACTGCATTTATGAAGCAGTTCTTTGTCATCCCTGGACTTTGGAAGAGAGTGGATTAATATGTTTTTACTTTGAAGAGGAGTTGTTATTACCTTATTTTGGTCATGTTGAACCTTCCTTGCAGGTGGAACTCCCTTTTAAAAGAGATTTGTTTCGGCTGCCGTAGCTCAGCTTAATTGACAGCTGAAGATATGCACTTGAATAATTGTTTTAGAGCTTTCCAACTGTGCAAGAATACCAATCTTTTTCTCCTTCTGCCCACAGTGAGTGCCTGGGAGCAAGGGATCCATATTGCGGCTGGGATAAGAAGCAGAAGCGATGTACAACCATTGAGGACAGCTCCAATATGAGTCTGTGGACCCAGAATATTACTGAGTGTCCTGTAAGTGGAAATGTCAATCTGTAGTGGAGAAATGTATGATCACTATTTCTCAGGACTGACTATATGAACTCTTTACACAGTAGTTGCTATATGCGAGACATCAAATCCTCACATTGCAGCAGAAACGTCAGTCAGGTAGCTGTTGTGGTCATATGTCTTCCAACACAACATCTCTGTCATCCAGAGAGAATGGATGAGAATCCATAATATTTGCACAGAGAGAATCCATACTATTTGCACAGTTCCCATTTAAAAATATTCCTGCTTGTGGTGTGGGGACCCAGCCACATGATAGCAGCAATTGTACCAGTGTGCTTTGCATTATTTTCTCCTTAATTGCCAGTCATCCTGGTAGCACATCATATGGCTCCCCACTCTCTGTGGAACTGCAGTTGGTGTTAGATAAAATAGAGGGTGAGGATGAGGATAGATTCAAGCATGTTGCTTATTGGGTTGTAGTAATTTTAGCTTAATAGTTTACTTATATGAGAAAGGTTAAATGGTTTCAGACAGAGTGTTGGCATAGCAAAGCCACAGCAAGATGATGTGTTTGCATGGTTCATATGGATAATGGAAACATTTGGCAAAGTGGCAAGCAAGATTTCTTCTACTAACCTATACCTATGCAATGAAGAAGTGTGTATTTGTTTTTGCCACGGAGTAAAAGGAGGCTGACATCAATACAAAAGTGTGCAGTGGCATTCCTCCTTTTTTAAAGCAGGTATTACAAAGAAATATTTTTAACGGAATATGATAATTACATTTAAGTAATTCTAGCTGCTTGCTGTTTTCTAAAATGGAACATGTCTGAACTAGGTGGGTAGCTACAAGCTCCAGAAACAACTCTTCATTTTGAACAAGACTTCCAGGGTAGAAGGAGGTTCAAGCAGGTTTACCCAAATGCACTCCCCCCCCCTTTTGACAATATGATCCTCTGTGATCATGCGACTTAGAATGCTGATCCCTGAGGTTGCTTAGGGTTACATCTGCCAGTTTGGTTTTGAAGGCGCAATGCTCAGGTGATGACTCTTAGAAACTGGTATCCAAGCTTTAAAAAAAATCTCCTTGGAGCATTAATCATTCTTTCAGCCTATCTTCTACTTGGCAAGCTTATGTTTTCAATTTTTTCCCCTCAAGCTGATTTTGAAGGAGAGTCTGTTTATAACCTTCCTGTGCTCTTCTTGAAATATAGCGCTTCTTGACTGCACATGCTGTTATCTCGTTCAGCCTAATGCCTGTCTGTTGATAGGTGTGTGAGGTGTTAATCCTCTGCTTGAAACATGTCTGCTCTGGCCTTGTGGGAAGCTTCCTCCTCCTTCTCAGTGTTTCAAGGTCTTTGAAAATAGCCAAAAATAGTCAACTATGAATCCTTTGGTCCAAAAAAGATAGAAGGAATATAGAAAGGTTTGTGTTTGCTTTGGACTTTAATAGGCAGGCTGGGGCATTTCACTTTTTTCTTGTTTACTGTATTCTCAAAGATACGAATCTCAGAAATGTATACTCAGAAAGTCAATGAGAACCTCATTGACTAGGAATCCCTGAGATGTATACAGTACTCAGAAAATTAACCAGAGCCCTGTCAGAGCGTGACTGATTGTGGTTTAGTTCATACATTTCTTTGTGGTCCCTTCTAGTTTCTTCCCATATTCCGTGTGGGTAGCAGATGGTGACACCAAACAAGAAATTAAAAGATGCCAGCTTCTTGGGAGGAAAGTGATGACAAACTTAGACAGCATCTTAGAAAGCAGAGACATCGCCTTGCCAACAAAGGTCTGCATAGTCAAAGCTATGGTTTTTCCAGTAGCGAGGTATGGAAGTGAGAGCTGGACCATAAAGAAGGCTGACCGCCAAAGAATTGATGCTTTTGAACTGTGGTGCTGGAGGAGACTCTTGAGAGTCCCCTGGACTGCAAGGAGAACAAACCTATCCATTCTGAATGAAATCAGCCCTGAGTGCTCACTGGAAGGACACATCCTGAAGTTGAGACTCCAATTCTTTGGCCATCTCATGAGTATTGACTCCCTGGAAAAGACCCTGATGTTGGGAAAGTGTGAGCGCAAGAGGAGAAGGGGATATCAGAGGACGAGATGGATGGACAGTGTCATCGAAGTGACTATCATGAATTTGACCAAACTCCGGGAGGCAGTAGAAGACAGGAGGGCCTGGCGTGCTCTAGTCCATAGGGTCACAAAGAGTTGGACACAACTTAACAACTAAACAACAGCAACAAAGCATATGGGGACAGGATTGATGTGAAAACCAGCATGGCCATATGATTACTACTTCTACCAACAGCAGTATCTTGTACTGAAAGTTCACTCTTTTGTTTGTTTTTATATTTTTATTCATTAAAATTAAAATTGAACTAAATCAGCAATAAATCTCAGGACAAAATCTTCGAAAGAGGGAATGTAATTCATTGAAGGACAGTGACATACGTTGATAAGGCCTCTTTGGTTCCCCTCTGCATTATATATCTTGCACAGCAGCCAGTAAAGGTCCCTTTAGAACCCGTCAACTCATCAACTGGCAGTCTTCATGGATTACTTCAAAGTGCATTAAGTCTTAATTGAATAGCACTGATGTGCACCCTATGTAGCTATCTCTTTAACCATCAGCAGGCGGTGAATTATTTAACTCTGCTGAAAGGAAGACTGTGGTCAAAGCAAGGGGAAGGCTGGATGGTTGAGTAATTTAATTGTTTTGGCTTGCTGTATGGTTGCTTTTTTGCTGCACTGTGACTGGAAGTATGCAGAATACCTGACAGGCATGACTGCTGTGTAAAAAGAGGCACAGGGCTGCTGCTGCAGCATGCACTCTTTGGCATGTGTGCATTCTAAGCAGGCTGGAAGCTCAGAAAAGTGCTTATATACATTTCAGTAATTTTCAATCTGGGAATTGATGCTAACTTATTAAACTAATCTCTTACTCCTTCTCAGGACAGTTCAAAGCAAGTTACATGGATATCCCAGCTGGCCTCTGTGCCAAACTTCAAATTGTACTGTTAAAAAGTTTACAAATCCAGATGTTAAAAAGTTCTTGTGTGAAGTACAGCATAGTTTTCTATGCAGACCTTCACCTCTTCCAGCCTGGATCCTTTTCCCTGGTATGGGTTCAGTTCATGAAACCCCTCCTTGGAATCCTTAGTCACAGTGGCCTTTATGGGGGGCATTGCATTGTCATATTGGCAGAAGAGCTTAATGTTCTTAAAGCAAATCATTTTTGCTGGTATGCAGCCAAGTTGGTACTATGGCCAGATATAACATTCTTGCCCAAGATTGTGTCTGATTTTCCACCTTGTCAGGATATTCTATTTCCTGTCCTTTTCCTCAACACTAACAGAAGAATCTACCCACATCTTGGATGTGAGAAGAATGTTGGCTTTTTCTATCCAGAGAACAGCTCCCTTCAGGTAGTCACCTTCACTTTTTTGGGGACATATTTTATGCCTAAGAAAGGACAGGCAATTTTGACTGAAAGGTTTCCAAATGGCTCATAAAGGCAATCATGCTGGCTTGCCAACTGGCCAAAAGACCTCTCTGTCTGACGCCACTAAAAGACATTCCATTATGGCAGTGGACACTTTACTTAAAGAAGGGTCTCTTTACTTGACTTGTATCCATCAGGAGCCTGGTCTCAGCTGTTCATTTACAGCCAACACTACCGTTGGGATACCAAGTCTCAGATGGATGATTCATTTGGAAGAACAGCTCTGTCTGCAGTGCTCTAGTGCATACAGGTGCCTACTTTCCTGCCTCTACAATGTTTCCTGAAAGTGAATTTCCTAGCCTTCATTCCTTAGTATGAATGCACAGAGACCATGAAGAACAAAAACTCATTGCTCACTGGTAACATTTGTTCTTCAGATAGTCTTCTCTGTATTTCATATGACCCACCCTTCCTCCATTCTTTGACATCTGCTGGCAACTAAAGTTCAGCTGTTGTGTCGTATGAAGTTTTGAACTGAATGCCATGCAGGGCTACTGCCAGAACTCTCTCTCCACTTGGAAAATTCTGGATTCTGTGAATACTGTACACTGCAGGCCTCTCAAAGAACAAGTGTTACAGGTTATGAGTCTGGTTTTGTTTTTTTGTTTTGTTTTTTGCTTGTGTTTTTGTTTTTCCTCCCACACTCAGGCAAGATCACTGTGACTCTTACCAGCCCCTTCAACATAACATGGAAATGCAAAGCAACATCCCCTTCAGTGAAGCATGCTGTGTCGAAAGCCAAAGAGGGAGAGAGAATTTCTGATGCATTTGGTATTCTTAGCAGCTAGTATTTCTCACTTCAATGCTGTTCAGAGTAATAGTTTCCAATTGGCTCAGGACCAGGTTAACTGAAATAGTGCTTCCTCCATTATCTATGTATCTACCTGGACAATAAGCGCTTAATTGAAGGTATAGCTCCAGGTTAATGAGGCAGGTGACTACAAGACAGCTGGCTATTTAAAATGGTAGTATCCTCTCAGTGAATTGCCATCCCCATGGAGGCTTGCTTGGCACCCACAGTTGCAATCAAAATTATTCAGTCCCCTTTGGAATCAGGTTTATTGCCAAAATTTACAGACTTTCAGCTGTTTAGAATTAACAAATCAAACAAGAAATTGAAATGGCCCAACACAATGAATGCTTCAAATGGTTTCCCCAAATTCAGTTGAAAATGCAACTCTTAATGAATTCTGCGGTCTCAAAATTATTCAACCCCCTTCATGGCAAGCTCTTTAGTACTTAGTAGAGCACCCTTTTGCTGCTATGCCCTGCTGCAAATAAGAAGCATAGCCAGACACCAGCTTCAGGCAGCGTTCCTGAGGAATCTTAGCCCTTTTCTCATGACCTCCAGTTCAGTAATATTCTTGGGTTTGCATGCTGCAACTGCCTTCTTGAAATCCCACCAGAGATTTTCTATGAGATTCAAGTCACGTGACTGTAGAATCTTCCAGGACTTCTTCTGCAACCAAGCCTTGGTGGAATTTGAGGTATGCTTGGGATCATTGTCCTGT